TGGGTGCCAGGTGGGTGACCTCTGTCCTACTCCCGTCTCGGCCGCCGCCCCTGCCGTCTGCCGTCCGGCCGGCCAGCTGCGTGGGGTGGAGGAGCCGGCGGGCGTCGTCTAATTTTACTCCGGCGCACTGGGCCGGCGCCGCCCGTCCCCTCTCCGCCGCCGCCGTCCGCCGACCCTGCTGGCTGCTGGCGTCCGGCCGTCCGGAGCTGGCGGCATTGCGACATGGGGCGGAGCCGCGCGTGTGGAGCGAACGGTCCAGCGGCGCGCGTGTCCAGCGCCGTGCCCGGCCGATCACCCGCCCGCGCGCCTGTGCGATCGACGGCTGAAGGCTGGCACGGCTGCACTGGCAGCTGCACTGACACGGCTGCACTGGAGCGTGCCGCTCTGCAGCCGACGGCGAGCCCTCCCGTGCAGCCGCTGGCGTGCCGCCGGCCGGAGCGAGCTCCCGGGATCGTAGGAACGTGGCCGGGAACGGTAAACGTGACCGGTCGGTCGGCGTGATGAGCTCATGCTCATGGTTTGGTGCTCGCTCTTTGTTGATGTGGCACTGGAAGCATTGAGATGCTACTGGCATTTGGTCGGCGTATGTTGACTCCAACGTTTGAGTTGAGCATCGGACCACCTGAAGGTCGTAAAGTCATCGTGAGTTGTGGATTAGAGATGAAAGTTTTATATCTATTATGGCCCTTGCAGCTAGCACACGTTTATGCGTTTATGGGTACCTACTCTGGGTGTACTGCAGTTGACGGTGTCCTTGGGTTCAATGTCCGCAGTTGTTACTGCCGTTGGAACGTTAATATTTGAACTACATTGACCGTCTTCCCACGCTTTGAAGGCATTGGCAGACCACAGATATTCGCCTTTCCTGGCGAGCGAAAACCGCCGGTTTCGTTGTAATCGCGTATGGACGGTTCAGGGCCGAATTCTACATAGCAAGGCGTGCAGTGTAGACTTCCGTGCCGTGTTGAGCTCTCGGCTGGCTCCGAATGGAGGAAACAGCTGGTTATTAGCTCAGCTGGACATGCAGCCTGCTGGTGCCGGATTGGTTCGAAATAACCAGACCATCCAGCTATGTCCGACAATGGATGATGATAGCCGGCTGTTAGCACTTTATCCTGGAGAGACGACGCGATGGTAGCAGACTGATTCTTCCTCATTGCGCGGGGTCCGCGGGCCAGTTGAGCCATGTTGAGCAGCGCCTGTGACGTGACAACTGACATCACCCCATCCAGCCCTGATCACTCCCCGGGGCTCTTATCTCGCCCTGTCCGGCCCTATCTCGTCCCTGAGCCAGCCCAGCTGAGTCGGCAGTCCCTCCCCGCCCGCTCGGTCGGTGTTGGTTCAGCCGACCCTCGGCGGCGCCCGGCGTTCAGTGTTTGTGCCGTGCCGTTTCCGACTGCACTGACGTCACCGGCCGGTTAGAGCGGGGTCGGCCGGCTGCCTTTGTGCGGTGGCACGTGCCGAGGAGGGGGGCTGACTGCTGACGGGGCCGCCGCTGGCGCTCCCTCGAGGTCACAGTACTGACACGGGGACTCCTGGTGGAGTGGAGCTCCTGTAGAGCTTGGAGCGACTGGTTCGGTCTGTCGTGGAGAAATGCACCGCTCCTATGGCGACCACCTGTTACCACCATCGCCCCCGCTGTCGCCGCCCCCACTCTGTCGCGGTGCACTGACTGCCATGTGTGGCACACGCTACCCACGTCCGTCCCTTTGACGCCACCCCTCTCGAACATCTGTTCCGAATCGTTCCACGGACCCTCTCCCTCGCAGCGTCAGTACGCAGGGAGCGACTCCTCATACCTCGATACACCGAGCCGGCGGCGGCTGCGGCGGCCATGATGACGCTTAGATGACGTCACCAGGTTCCGCGGAGCTTGACGCAACGGTCCGACCGGAACCTGCTTCCTGGCAGCGATCGCCACTCAGCGATTTGCCGCGATCGCTTCCGGCCTCTTGAGACATCAGAGTCGGCGGTGGAGACCTTTACCTATCAGCTAGCGTACCTGGTACTCTCGAGTGCCAGGCTGGCGCGGTGCTACGGGGATTGGGGAGTGATAGCGCGGGGCGGCGGCAGCTGGTGGCGTTGGTCCGCTCAGTTTCGACCAGGCAATGCGCCGTGCGGGGTCGCGCCGTGCGTGATCTGCGTGTGCCGGAGCTTTACCCGATCGGTGGTGATATCAGCTGCAGGAGCAGTCCGGTGAGTGAGAGAGAAACTGAACAGCGTCCTGCTGCCGCCGTGGTGTAACGCCGCCCGCCGCCCGCTGGCCGCACCCATATATGGCGGTAGGCGGCTGGCTCAGGGCCGCGGCCGGCCGGTTCTCCGCCGCTCTCTCCGCCCGCTCCGCCGCTCTGCAGGCCGGCCGCGACAGGACCCAGCGCCCGGCGCTGTGACTGGAATACAGGCTGCTGTGGCGACTGCTGTGGCGCCGCGGCAGCAGTGGGGTCGAAAAGCAGAGACGGGCGCTGTGGGAAGGGTAACAGGAATGGGGGATTCAGCAGCGGTGACTGCATAGCTAACAACTTGCAGTGGGCACTGAGGGTTCAGAGTAACCTCTGTCGTCAAGCGCACCCATTGTGTGCCCAGTGCCCACCGTCCTGGCTGTTTTAGTTCGTAGCCTTACAGCAGCCAGTTTGTTGATAGTGCATGCCGTGAGGCGGTCGTTTCGCGCCTGCTGGCACCTCCACGGCCGGAAACTGCGGCCTGAAGCGCCGCCGGCCGAGTGGAACCAGAGCCGCCGGCTACGCCCCCGGGCCTGAGGTGCGACCGCCCGCGGAACGAGCGAGTCGCACCGCGAACCGACTCCGCCTTACGGTGAACCGACTCCGCCGCGCGGCACTGCATTCTGCGGCATCACCTGGGTGACTAACCGAACCGCACGGGTCTTGAGAGCCGCAGCCGTCAACTGGGAAGTATGTGTTTCTGCTTGCTTCTTGGGATATAAGCGTTTAAACCCTTGCTTATCAGTTAGGTAGGAAGGCATCCAATATTTGTACAAAGCTGCGGTAGAGTCTTATCTGTTACGCCTTCCTGTTCCGGTGACGATTCGCTGCTTTACTGTCCGTATCCATCAGTGTGGCCCCCTGTGACATCCTGGCGCCCTATCTGCACCGGAACACAGAGCTCCGATCGATGGCATATGACCAGTATCGGTATCGCTTACTGATACCACTGATCAGTGTTTGCAGAAGGATAAGATCAATTAGATCAGCGCCATCATAATGGCATGAAAGTTTACGGCTGGGTCGATTCATAGTGGGCGTGGTAGGGGCGTGGCGCTATGCAAACGGCGGACTCTGAAAAGGGTACGAGTATGATATGACGTTTATGGATACTGCAGGTATGCATGAAAATGCCGCATGTGATGAGATATTGTGCCATCGCTGTGTGCACGTCACACTGGCGTTCGGGGCGCTCCGCGGTGCCTCCCGCCCTGGTCTGTATAATTACCCCTCCATGGACGCGGTGCACACCACATTAGCAGCGTGCAGAGCACCGCTCCCCGCGGCTGTGTATTTGTAATGGTCCAGTCCGGCCCGAGTCTGACTGAAGTGATTCGGGAGCGTCTCTTGGATCTGTCTCGTTTACAGAGAGACTGCCAAGAGTAGCCTCTCCGGGACTGACGGCGGCCGGTTGGACGCGCCCGCTGGCGCTGAAGGTAGAGATGTCTGGCGCCGGGCCAGCCGTTTGAGGTGGACTGAGTCAGAGAGAGCGAGGGAGAGGAGAGAGGGACACGTCCGGGGCCTGCGGGAGCATATCCGCTTGGAGTGATTAGACGATGTGTCGCAGTGTCGGCAGTGATGTCATGGTCATTGGTCGGGCCGGGAGAGGACGTATTGCTACTTTGTTTATCACAGTGTGGCCTGTTCCCAGAGGCATGGTAACTGAAGTCTGGCCTGTGTCCATGTTTGTCCGAGTTATCGCGAATGATGCTGTCATGACTCACGACTTAAGGGTGCGCTAACTTCGGAGGTGGCTCCGCTCAGCGTTGGTGTCCGAGCACTACTACTCCGATTCTCAGCCAGTAGATGTCACCAGGGTAGAGCGTTTTTTTCCCACGTTAATGACCTTCTCCCCCTCCTCATTTCACGGCCCTTACGATAACGACGATAACGACGTTTGGTTACTGCGCCGGCGCGGCGGGCGGCGCCGACTGAGGGAGATCATGGTGTGTAAACACCGCGCGGACGGAACACGTCTCTCGACAGGCCTTCCCGGCGCCGTCCTTAGCCTGGTGTAGGTACCTACCCAGTTAGAACGAAACTGACTAATTGATATAGAATAGATACATGTTATCGAATATTGAGTCTGCCGCAGCTCTAGTCACAAGAATGCGTCTGATATTCTCACATGATTGACCTGACGGCATTGTTATAGTGAAATGCAGTGCTACTAGTAGATTCGCATTGCTACACATACTACCAGTAAAACGCCTTATAGGGCGACAAACGGAGCGAACGAGAGTATGGGCCTTGCACGTCACGGGGTACCTCCAACTGACTTGTGCACGGCACCCTACTAACCGTTCTCTAGCAATGTGCCATATTTGAGCGCAATCGGCCCAGCCGTTCTCGAGATCTGGAAGCGGCACCCTGCACGTGCGCACGTGTAAAATGGGTCCCAACTGACTTTTGCACGGCACCCTACTAACGGATCCCTAACCGGTAACCAAATCTGAGCGCAATCGGTCCAGCCGTTCTCGAGATCTGGAGTCGACCCCTGCACGTGCACACGTGCAGGAGCACCCCAACTGTGGGACATGAAAATGCATTGCCTAGGCCCTAGTGGGTGCCTACCTACATGCAAACTTTCAGCGCAATCGGCGCAGAAACTACCGAGATATTGCAATTGTTACAAAAATGACACCTCTTCGTTTTGCACGTGGCACGTGCATAGGGGGTCACCCACATGCATCGAAAAAAGTCAAATACTTGGTAGAAGGAATCAAGCTAACCCACAAAAATTACCGCAAGTAAATCGGCCCAGCGGTTGCTGAGTTATAAGCAGGGCTGCGGAGTCGGAGTCGGAGTCGGGGTCGGTCGGAGTCGACAGTTCTGCCCGGAGTCGGAGTCGGAGTTGGAGTCGCCAAAATCTTACCGATTCTGACTCCAGAGTCGGAGTTAACGCTGCATGGCTCAGCGTCATGCACTGCACCTGTTTAATTGACGATGCTGCGCTCGAAGTAAGATTTTGTCGAAGAAAGGTCATTTTGCTGTTTTGGACGAACGTTTTCAGCGAAGGAAGCAGAAGACGGTGAATTCCCCAGAACCAGCTTCTTAATTCTGCATGTTATTCTTAATGCAAATTTGCAACGCAACGCCTTGGAAAGCACAAGAGATCGTTTCAGGCAAGATAAAAACATCTCCATTATGAACTTCAATATCATGATAGGTATGTGTTTTAACCCGCGCCCTGCTGGGCTATTCAGCCATACGCGCCTTGCGGGGGGGGGCAGATTCTGCCCTCCCCCTTGTCTAACTTCCGAACCGATGGTGTAGAAATACGGGGAAAACGGCAATCGAAAGCTCTCAACAAGGCGGATCTTAAGAGCCTTTTTTTTGCTGAAATAGGTCAGAGGTCAGGTCAAGGGTACAAAATGCAAGTTTCTACAGCATCGGCCTTGCACCTTAGTTGCCGAAGAATGGACTGAGAGTGATTGCCCAAAAACGTGTTCTTAGGCTACCAAGACAATATTTGTTGCATACAATATCATGCAAAGGTCAAGGTCAAGGTCAGGTCAGGTCACCAAAAACGAAATATAGAAAAGGGCATGTGCGACACATGTTTTATGGGTCATTTTATTCATAGCATTCAATAGGCACACTCAATAAGTGATATGGACCACATCTGGATGAATTTCAGGTCGAGGTCGGGTCAAGGTCAGGTCAAGTGAGGTGAAATTTTGAAGTTGGTTGTTATGGCCTAAAAAGGTGTCTATCTGATGCAGTTTTTCACGGCGAATCGAATGATGCTATTGTTGTTTCCGTACGAGGTCTAGAACTTCACAAAAAAAAAAACTTTAAAAAATTGTGTGTCGTTACGTCATAAAATTTCGAATAAGTTGCACATTTTTGAACCCATACTTCTAAAAATTGGTATGTACACATAGACATGTATGTACACATAGATTGTAGGTGCACATAGACCACTTCTCTAACATATATTCCGTTTTTTTTTTTCGATACACTAAAAATTTTGGATTTTATAACTATTTTCCCAAAAAAGTCAGTTTAAAAAAATGAGTCAAAATCCAATATTTTAAAAAACCGAGATTTCCATTTGATAGATAAAGTAGAATCACCTATAACCTTTTTTTACGTCTTGATTCCTTTACAAATGAAGATGCCAGCAGCGTTTGAAATTTTGCCGTTTTTGAGGCGAAAATGACGGACATGACGTCACTAAAACGTCATTTTCTCAAAAATGTCCAACGGCTTTCGCTCAAATTTTCAGGAAACGTCTTAAATTGATGTTTGATAAGGTACTGAAAGTTTGACGTAGCTGGCGTAACGCGTTTAGAAGTTATTTCTCCCCCCCCCCCCCCACCCAGCGGGGTGCGGGTTAATAGAACCGTCCGGAGTCGGAGTCGGAGTAGGAGTCGGAGTCGGAGTCGATTTTTGAAGCCGGAGTCGGAGTCGGAGTCGGAGTCACCCTAAAATCCATCGATCCATAAAAAACATACAGGATGAGGCGACTAGCCCTGCCACACATCTAACAAGCTGAAACTTTTTTTCTCACTCATCCCATCCATCATGGTAAAAAAGGATAAAAAAGGGAGCGACTCACTGCAGTCATGAGACTTCGATGTAACATATCATTGGCCCAGATGTCGACCACGCATCAACTAATTTCAGCAATCGTGTCAAAACTGAGGCATTCGCTCAGCATCATGCCGATATCATTTTGTGCTCCTTGTTCTGTGTCAGTTTCGTGTCATGTACGAATGCAATATGTCAATGATGCCATGGATGCAATATTATGTGCCGGTTATACTGGCATGTTTTCATTGGATTCGCCTCTGCACTGTGTCAGCAGAGCATACGCCATACTGGGGATTTATGTGTGATGCATCGCTGATGTACAACTAACTACTGATGCACTGTTTACGAGCGAGCGAGCGCAGCGAGCGAAGCGAGTCTTTTCAATATAACGGAAAAATCTCAGTATGAGCGGCCCGGCCCGGCCCGGCCTGTAACGCTTTTGAGAGGCTTATATCTCAGCAACCGCTGGACCGATTGGCCTGCGGTCTTTTTTGCTGGGTAGCCCCATCCCTTCTACCCCGTAATTGACTACTTTTGATACACCTCAGTGACCGTCGTGGCACGTGCCACGTGAAAAGTCAAGGGTGTTCAACCTGTGTATCGATATGCTATTCATATAAACTCTACTAATCTCATTCGATCCACCCACCACCCGTATTTTCCTCCGACAACCCCGTGTTCGCTTCTGTTCCGGCAGAGCTTCACGGCCACCGGCACATGCGGGAGCCCCAGACCGTAAATCACCGTGTGTTGACAGTCCCTCCCCGCCGGTCGGCGCGACTCGCGGGTTTTATTACATGGGGGAACGGCAGGGACCGAGGCGGAGACCCATACGACATCTAGCGGCACTCCCTTGAACCAACAAAACCGTCAAAAAGTGGATATGATTCCGGCTTAATTCCAGTCACAGTTCAAACATTTCTGAAAGGTAAACTTCATTTTCGTGTGAAGAAATGTTCTGTGCACATTTCTATGTAGCCGCTTTTTTATTTTATGCCTCCCACAAAAAAATAAAAGATGAGCAAAGTTTTACTTTCATTTTTTGCAACATTGCAAAAAGAAAATGGAAAATCGGAGTACATAGAATTGTTGTCCACTTCGAGGATATGCGGTTGCCATTCATTTTTTGCGCCTAGTTTGAATGACGTTTAATGAATTTCGGCCCAAACTTTTCAGTTTTTCCACCTTTATCGTGCAATATCAACGTGAATATTGCATGGAATCAAACAACTTGTCCAGAGTAGGCTTCGTACATCCATGGAGCAGGTACATTCCGAATTTGAGGCTAATATCTCTATCGGTTTTCAAGATATTGCGGTTTTTCACCTCCCATTGACTTAACATTAACATCGCACCCTTAAATGAGTCATAGCAGTGACGTATAACTCGTACGTTACTGGATGTCGGCGTAGTCGTGACAAACAACTGTGTGCTTTGCGGGTCAAGCGATCTCACTTTTGCGAGTAACCCATGATAATCTGTGACCGCGTGAACTTGAAACAAAACCTTGGCGGAATGATTGAATGCTGATGTAACTTCATGCTCTTGACATTACTATTTTAATTTGGAATATATTCGAAAGAGCAATCGACCATACGAGCACTCTACGACCACCTGTTCTAACCTCCCCTCCCTGTCTGTTCCAGCGCTGACAATGTGGCGACTGTGGGCGGTGTGTGCGGCGCTGGCCGTCACCGCCGTGTGGGCGCAGGAGGCAGAGAAGCTCACGCAGCCCAACCCGTGCACCTCCAAACAGACGTGTAGCGAATGCATGCAGACGCCCACCTGCGCCTGGTGCGCCCTGCCGGTCAGTACAGCAGTTGTTAGTGGAGGGAGGGTCTAGAGGCCGCTGTCAGATTTGTGTCAGGGAGGGAGTCCGGTACCTAGCGTCCCCAAGGGTCGGTGAACTAGAAAGAGTTGTGCTGGGTTGGTTTTGAAACTCCTGTTTATGTGCAATTCGTACTTGGGAAGAAGGGAAGTTAACTTGGGTACTTAATTTGATGATAATTGAATTCAATTACGAATACAACTTTCAGTCCAAGTATTCAGTCGCTATATGCTGTGCAGAGCGGGCGTTCCATCGTGTCTACGTGTCTGCTCCAGTAGCTAACTCGCCCATCTGTTTTTCTTCCAACAGGAGTTCAAAACGGCCGACGGTAAGCCGGCAGCGCGGTGTAACAAGGAGCAGAACTACATCAACGGCCTCATCACCTGCGAGGCCGGCTTCCTGAAGACTTGGGCCAACCAGGTGGAGACTCTGGAGGACGCCACGCTGAGCAGCGTGCTGGCGGCGCGCGGAGAGTCGGGCGCCGCCGGAGCGGCCGCCGGCGCGTCCGGCTCCGCCTCCGCCTCGGGCTCGGCCAGCTCAGAGACCTTCGAGGCCACCCAGATCGCGCCGCAGCGCGTGCGCATGTCACTGCGCGTGCACGAGGCGCACGACCTGAAGGTGCAGTTCGCGCTGGCTCCCAACTACCCGATCGACCTCTACTACCTGATGGACCTCAGCAAGTCGATGGAGGACGACAAGGACAAGCTCTCCACGCTGGGCAACCTGCTGGCGCAGGAGATGAGGAAGCTCACCTCCAACTTCCGGCTGGGCTTCGGCAGCTTTGTCGACAAGGTGGTGATGCCCTATGTCAGCACCGTGCCGGCCAAGTGAGTATCTCGGGCAGCGGCCCCTCAGAGCTTTCATACCTCTCACAGTGTTGCTCACACCAGCTCCACGTCTTCCAAGCCAGACTGTGCCTTGTTCACCAGTATCCGTCATCGACCTTTGGAGTCTCCGTATTCCTTTGCATCCCCCCGCTCCATTTTCTATCTATGTGCCTCCTTGGCCACAGCATTCGTGGTCCTCGCTCCATTCGTATCCATTTGTATCCATTTGTCCCCTTTCTATGTCGACATTCTGGTCCATAACTATGTCCTAGCCCTCACTCTCCTTACGACCCTTTTCACTGTGGCTGACCAATGACTCACGTCCTGTGTTGCAGCCTGCTTCGTGACCTCACCGGGGCACACAACCAGGGCTGATATGTGGGGAAATACCGTGACGCGGGGTTAGGTGACTGGGTCATAATGTGGTTTGATAAAATGGGGGTGGTAGTGCTGTGGTTTGTGCCTGCGGCTCAGGACGTCTGTTTTGATGTAGATACCAAATCAATCTTCATTTGCAAGCAAAACTTCCGGAAACGTAAAGATGATTGGCACTCTTCATCCGCTTTTGCTACTTATTGTTTAACTTTTCACATTGTGATCTTCGTTGTTAGGGTTTACATTTTTACATACCATGTTTACATACCATGCCCATCAACGAATGGATAACCGGACCAGTGACCTGTGACCACTGACCACGTAATGAATCTGATCGATGTTTAGCCTGAGCCGCTCAATTCAGATCGCCATTGACCAGTGTATGATGAGAGACCGCACTCGCTGCCACTGGCTAAACGCATAGGCTGCTGTTCCCGTTCCACCAATGGTCATTGTATCGTCCCCACTGCTATATCGCTGAAAGTCGAACATGCGGAATAGCCATCTATCGACGTGCAGTGACGATGTGCATGTTTTAGCAAAAGTATGTCAATGCGTGACACATGAGGTATCGAGTGCCACCCCGCTTCGGATACCACCCAGCCTACCATAATTCGTAACATCTTCAGTTTAGGGTTAATCATTTTAGATTTGTGATTGATTTGAATCATGTTTTTCATAGTTGAAACAGTTGTTTGCGAACATGTTTTAATATTTGCCCAATTTTTGTATATCTTGCTCTTCTTGACCCGAGGCAAGCGTATTTTCATTTTTCAAGCATGTTAACCTCCCACTAAGCTGTATGATAGACGCATATCAGCCAAGACAGCCTGGAACCCGTGTTGGCGGACCGGGGCTGCGGCCGCCCATTTTTCCGGTCGCCGCCCCCGCCTACAATGTCCCTCAACGTCCTGTGTGCCGCGTCCCAAGGTTGCGAGAGCCATGCGACGGCTGCGCGGCCCCCTACGGGTACAAGAACCACATGCGTCTCACAGATGACACGGACACCTTTGAAGTGAGTTAGGCGCCGGCGGCCTGCCGCTCGGTGGCGGAGCAGTGGCGTAGCGCCGGCGCGGGCCGTCTGACCCGCCCCTCCGGCCTCTGAGCTAATGTGGCGTCCCTCACAGCCGGTGTCATGTCCCGTCCAGAGCTCCGGATAAATGCACGGCCGTCTAGCATGCTCGCACCATTAAATCGTCACCAGGCGCGCATCGGTAAAGCTGTAGCGCGTCGGGTAGCGCTAAACAGGCAGTCTGACAGGCTGCCGGTCGGTACTCTAACGTGTATGTCGACAGCACGTCGCTAACACCCTCTAGTGGACAGGCGGGGAGCAGCAGTTGGAGTCGTGGCCGCTAGGTGGCTCTGCGCACGCTAACCCGCGCTCGTGTCTCGTTTTATAGTCTGGAAAGCCCGTGCACTGGCTGCGAGGCACCGTACGGATACCAGAACGCTCTTTCGCTCACCTCGGATACAGAGATGTTCGCAGTAAGTTGGCGGTGACCTGCTGTGTATCGGTGACCTGACCTGACCCTGACCCTGGCTGACCTCCAGGGCGGTCAGCTGTTGTGGGAGCTGTGGGGGTGTGTTGTGATATTCTCTCTTATTCTGCAGATACAGCTTCTGTTTGACCTATTTCTTTTATTTCTTTTTCATCTTCGCTTCTTTTGTGTGGGATATGTGAATTGTGTGCCATCATTTCTTTCCTTATCGTTTTCTGGGCTTTTGTATATTCTTTCTCGTGCGTCTTCTCAGTGAGAAGATGTGTGTCTCATATTGTACGTTCTCATAGCTCTCAGTCGAGAGGGATACTGCTTGGGGGAGATCTCGGGCACTCCGTGTATATCAGTTAGCGTGCCGGCGTTCCTTGTCTGTCGGGGCAGATATTTGTGGCTACCTGCTGAGATTCAGCCTTCAACGTCTCTCTGTGCCGACTCATATCCTCGTGGCTAATGTGCTATTCCTGCAGAAAGTCTATGTTTTCCCGCCATGTGACGCTTGTGTGAATCGAGGAGCCGGTCAGATTGGGATGTGGAGCTTCAGATAGGTCTCCGGAATAGCTGTAAAGGTGGTCATCGTGATTTGTGTAATGAGGGAAATTAATTCAAAGCGATAATTGCATGAATGGGTTATTCAGTATGGCTATTGGGCTTGCATGTTGTACGTTTGTGTCTAAGTTATGTGTTGTGGACTATGGCTCATAAATTGTGCATGCTGGGGTATTTGTCCTAAAGTGACTTGTGGGGCTGGGCTGGTTTAGTGAGCATTGCAGTTTGCACTCTGTGACTAATTGTGTATTCGTAGTTCGCATGTAATTCATATATTAAAATACCTACTGCTTTTTGTGCTTTGTGTTGTTAAATTTTATCGTATTAACATTTTTTGAGAAAATCGTCATGCTCTTTTTAAGAAGTTATTTTTCTTTCTTTCTTTTGTCGTTTCAGCTCTTAAATTCACGTCAGTTTTGTGCTTTTTTGCTTTTAAAGTTTCATTTTTAAAGTAAAATATTTTGAGGGACAAATCTAAGGACTAACCATGATGTATTCGATTGTCTTTGCTTATATTCTTTCCCTTTTCTCCATTCCATCATTCTTGATTTGTCCCTTTCCTTTCCCTCCCTTCCCTGTTCTCCTCGACCTCTCCCACCTCTGCCCGCCACTCGCCACTCGCCACCCCCTCCTCCGTGGTCCGTGCGGCGACTGACCTGCCACCTGGCGTCGGTAGCGCGAGGTGCGCGACGCCAAGGTGTCTGGTAACCTGGACGCTCCCGAGGGCGGCTTCGACGCCATCATGCAGGCCATCGTGTGCAAGGAGGAGATCTCGTGGCGCAGCAACGCCCGCCGTCTGCTCGTCTTCTCCACCGACGCCGGCTTCCACTACGCCGGAGACGGAAAGGTGCGGGCGGAATCGCTGGAATAGTGGTGCTGATGGGAGAATGGGGGCGGGCTGATTAGTGATTGGGTCAAGATGTGCGGTGCTGTTTGATTTTCGGTTCAGTGTATGCATATTCAATGCTGCACTATCGCACGAACATTGAACAATCCATGTCTTCTGGTGTTAGATAACACGCGTCATAATTGTTACTAGCTGTCGAGTAAAGAACAACAAATGCGTCCCAGTGAAAACGTATTGCCATAGAAGTGGACACGACTCAAGACAACCCTGCGTCATGTCGTCCCGTACGCGCCCCGCTCTCACCCCTTACACCCATCTCCGTCCCGGCAGCTGGGCGGCGTGGTGAAGCCCAATGACGGCGTGTGCCACCTGGACTCCCGCGGACGGTACACCCACTCGGACATGCTCGACTACCCCAGCGTGTCGCAGATCAACCAGAAGGTCAGTCGGGTTAGGATGTGTCGAGGAGGTGGGGTGGGGTTCTGTAGATTAACGGACCTCTGCAATTATTGGGGGACTAATCAAATCTAATCGGAGTCAAATCGGAGTCCGGGAGGAGACGATTCCTCTTTACCGCCGTGACAGCTTTTAATAGCCTACCACCGGCGATGTGTGACCTGAACCTGCGCGCGTTCAAGGCAGAGTTGCGCCGGCACTTGTTGCGACAACAGGCGGCTGACCGTTAGCAATGCTTCATGACGACACGTTTGTGAGAGAGTGACTGCGAACGAATGTCTGTCTGTGTGCGTGCGTGCGTATGTTTTTCCCACGACACCCATCATTTTATATTGCGACCCTGGTTCAGGAATAGCCATTTTTGTGGAATGAGCCTACGATGTCAAATAAATAAATAAATAAATAAATAGACTACTGGAAGGTGAAAGAGTTGGGTTTTATGGCTGTGTGGTATCGATAATGTTGACGATTCTAGCGTTGTTTTTGTAGCGGCGTGGGTTATTGTTGTCAGTTGGTTTGAAAGCTTGCAAGATTCAGGTTATTAATCTTTTTTATTGACTTCATATTTTTTTTTCGTTTATACATAGCTGTATCTGGGAGGTGGCCGTCATGGCAACCGCCCTCAAAATCATTGCTGTCTTTATTCTATTATGTGGCCTACTATGTTTGATATTCCAGCATCACCACCTTACCATTCTGACCTTCACCACTGCTCCCTTCGATCATCAGGTGAAGGAGAACAGCATCAACGTCATTTTCGCGGTGACGGCCGAGCAGCGTGAGACGTACGACGAGCTGAGCCGCCACATCGAGGCCAGCTCGGCGGGCACCCTGTCCAACGACTCCTCCAACGTCGTCACACTCGTCAAACAGCAGTATGACGTGAGTGGTAGATACATGCTAGTTCTGCTTCAGCTGGCTCTATGGGTTAATATGTTCTCCTTGGTAAGCCTTGCCTGATTCTATGTGATTGTTGTGTCATGTGCTCTGTAAACAATCGTTAGTCATCGTACATTTGAAACACTTATGAAACACTGAAACACTGATCAGTTACCTTCTTGTTTCATGTGTACCCACCCAATCGCAGAGACTGATATCTTGAAAGCACTTGACAATTTCAATTACCTAACAACTGCATAGATCCGTCCAGGTTATGGTTTTACGCTTCAGCTGCTAGCCTCTGCCTCCCTCAATCAATTCACCCTCTCTTCAATTACTGATCGCTGTCTTATCCCCGCCCTGGCAGGCCATCACCTCTTTTGTGGAGATGAAGGACAACTCGACCGAGTTTGTTCGCATCCGCTACTACTCGGCGTGTCGTGGCAACACCACGACCGAGACCAACCGCTGCGACAAGCTCAAGATCGGACAGCAGGTCAACTTCACCGCCAAGGTCGAGGTGAGTGGATTCGTGGTGAAAACGGTGGACGGGATGCTGGAGCTGTTAGTGGGTGAGGAACGGGGTAAAGTATTCAGACGTGCATGGTTAACTTGAAAGCGATTGTAACGGCTTACTTAATTTGCATTGAGTGAACCTGTATTACTTGCTCAGATTAAGGTTTGGTTCATTAGTCGATCCAACAAATAAAAAATCCTTTGAAATAATGTCTTCTAAACGTCCAATTTAAATTGCTTTGTTTTAGGCGCTTTTCTTCGTTGTCGGGCGTTTTTTATGACATGGTAGAAGGATGCAATAAACATCGAACCTAGCCCTCACACCCTCATCACTCTCTCCGACAGTTAATCAAGTGCCCGGAGGACCCGGCGCGCTGGAACGATATCATCGAGATCAAGCCGGCCGGTCTGAACGAGTCACTCATCATCGACCTGGCCATGCAGTGTCAGTGTGACTGCGACCGGCCCGGCGGACCGGTACGATGGCACGGGGAGGAACGGGAATGGGATAGGAGATGGGAGGGATGTGGACACTGAATGGTGGGTGGGTATTATTATGGACGATGCATGCCCACCGCGACGTTGTCTGCGTGTTCCATTGTGGGCTGTCTATGGGTAAAAACTACATATTTTGATATTTGTTTTGTTTTATGCTACAGTAGAAATGTCCGTTTGATAAATCTAACCTTAACTGAATTCGGGACTGTAATTCATGCAACTGTCAAGCAAGTTTTTCCGAAATTCTCACCTCATCCCCACGCTAACTCGTGTTCTCCACTGTGCCACCGACAGGGCTTCAAGCCGGCCGCCATCGCTGCCGAGTGCAACTACGGAGGTGACCTGCAGTGCGGCAAGTGCGTGTGCGACCCGCTGCACTTTGGCGCCTTCTGCGAGTGCTCTCAGAGCGACCCGAACGGCCGCATTGGCGAGGACCAGTGCCGACCGCCCAACTCGACCGACATTCTGTGCTACGGCCGCGGCGAGTGTGTGTGCGGCGAGTGTAACTGCTACCCGCGAGAGAACCCCAACGAGGTGGGTGGTCAGGTCGGCTGGGGATAGAGGAGACGATAGAAGTGTGTGTGTGTGTGTGGGGGGGGGGGATATTTGACGTTTGATTATTGTGAGGATGTGAGTCATTTAGGACATTTTTGAGCTTTTTGGTACTTGATATCCGTTCATTCATCATTAACTGTATTTTTATGCGAGCTTAAATTTGTTTTGTCATTCATTTAAGTTTTTCTAAAGGTCTGCTGCTCTTTTTTATTTTAGTAAGTTCCTAAAAAACTACCGTGCTCCTGCAGCTGAGACTGGTTAATGATGGGACTAGGTATTTAACCCTTCCCTCCCTCTCGCTCCTCAGGAGGTGAAGGGCGATTTCTGCGAGTGCGACAACTTCTCGTGCGACCGTCACGAGAAGCTGCTCTGTTCGGGTCCCGATCACGGCAGCTGCGTGTGCGGAGAGTGCAGCTGTCTGGACGGATGGACCGGCAACGCCTGCCAGTGTCCCGCCAGCAACGCCTCCTGTATCGCGCCAGGTCAGTAGGGGGTGACCGCGCCGGCGGGTCAGATCGGGCTGAGAGTGGGGCTGGGCTCTCCTAGTCCGATTAATCATCAAATTGATTTGGGTTATCACTTATGGCTTCGCCAGAGGCTATGAACCCCGTGAGGTCTAACCCTGGTTTATTTTTCATATCAATTCAATTAATGGTGTATACTACAATGGTGTGGGTAGCTTGTACGATAAAGAGGGTGAATACCACATGACAGTGAGCTCTGCAATGGTTGTGACCCATAACCTCTCGTCTCCTCTTCAGGTGACACCCGCCAGTGTTCGGGCGCCGGAGAGTGTGTGTGCGGCCAGTGCGTCTGTAAGGAGGAGCAGGGCGCCCGGTACTCGGGCAAATACTGCGAGGACTGCCCGGTGAGTTGCTGCCGTCGGTGCGCCGGAGACGGCACCCTTTTCATGACAGCTTTGCGGACTGTCAGTCACATGCTTGGCTGGAGCCCGGCGGTCCTGCTGACATTGCGGGGTTTAGGCATGATGCGCTGGGAGGGCTAAATATTGAATTCCGATAAAGAGCAACATATCGATTTATTCAATAGACTCGGTAGCGCTCATCGAAAAAAAACTCCATTGCTGTAAATATGGAAAAGGTGCGCTCTCTTCGCCCAGTAATCTATTGTTCTTATCCTTAGATGAGACTTAAGTCTCGCATGTGTCAACATGCTCCATCAACTGAGTCGTGATCCTTAGATTGCGAACCTCACATCCGTCTCACCTTGACCTAACCTCCCTTTCCGCCTCCACAGACGTGCCGCGGCAAGTGCGAGCTGTACAAGCCGTGCGTCAACTGTGTGGTGCACGACAGCGGCGAGCTGAAGGAGGAGGGGCGCTGTGAGGAGGAGTGCTCGCACCTCATCATCAACAAGACAGACGTGGTCGAGGGTCAGTACCGGGCGTGGAAATTGACGGGTGCCGGACGATTAAGGCCTAGTGATCAAGAAATGAAACACTGCAGTTTACATGAGGTTCATGCAGCGCTGTAAATTTGAATATGTTCTTTGTTGCCTTGCAATGATTTTTATCTATTCCTCGGGCAGCTCTTATGGAGGAATATTGTTTTCATGTATCTGTGAGCTTAAACTAAGTCATAATTTGTGCTAAAAGATTACACTTTTGTACGAAACCAATCAGGGCTGCCGCTAAAATAACCCCCACCCGCCTGACCGTGTCCCTGCTTTCGTCTTCACAGTGGAGAACCCCGACGAGCGGATATGCACGTTCAGTGACGAGCACGGCTGCCGCTACCAGTTCGTGTACGGCTACGACGGGGAGACGCAGGTGATCCGAGCGCAGGAGACCAAAAAGTGCCCGCCGGCCATCAACATCCTCGGTGAGTGAGGCAGAGGAAGGGAGAGAGGGAGTGGGTGGAGGGATTGGTTGCGCGACTGGTTGACCCATAGACCTTTGCATACAGAGGTTACAGTATTCAAAGGTCATGGCTGACTGAAAGAATAAGTGAAGGAACGAAGAAAAGTTTACTTGTTATATTTAGTGATTGTGGTGGTCAGTTTTGCCGTGCTGATGTTCTGACCCTCCCCAGGTATCGTTCTGACTCTGATTGCCGCTATCGTGATGTCGGTATGGCCATGCTGACCCTCTGATTCTCCCCAGGTATCGTTCTGACGCTGATTGCCGCTATCGTGGTGGTCGGTATGGCCGTGCTGATGCTGTGGAAACTGCTCACCACCATCCATGACCGGCGCGAGTACGCCAAGTGGGACTCGGAGCGTAAAATGGCCAAATGGGACACGGTGAGTCGCCGGCGGGGCGGGGCGAGCGATTGTGAGGGATGATGACGGGAGAGAAAACGGGTGATAAGTGTATAAAATATTGCTGCTGACCGTTTTAGTAAAAAAAAAAGAAGAAGAAGAAATGTGACAGAGTCACTGATGTCTTTCTTTCACAAGCGAAACATATTTTTCGACACTGTATGTAAATGATTCCATCACAATTAGCCTAACATCTTTGTGTTTCTGTGACTGGCAGGGCGAGAACCCGATATACAAGCAGGCCACGTCCACCTACAAGAACCCGGCGTACGGCGGAAAGTAAACAAACCCATCATCACACACCGGTGACAGAGTCACCAGCACATCCTACAACCATCTCACCGCGTGGTGAATCGATTTGGTGCTGTCTGTGCCGCTGGTTACCTCGGCACCAACCAGCACCATTAGTGGACGGAGTGGCGATGCGCCGAGCTTTACCGTCGTATGAGACGACGGAGGTGCCGCCGCGAGTGTCACACGCGGCTTATTTTGTTGAGCGCTGAGTTGAGTCAGCTGAGAATGGTGTGAAACTTTGGCGGAAGATCTGAGAGTAACCAGCCGCGTTTTGCGTTGTCCATTCGAATACCCCGGTCCCCTCATTTTTTTCCTCCCGCCCCACCCTCCCTTATGGACCCGTGCTGTATGTATGTGCGTATGTGTGTGAACGTGCGTGCGGCGCTGAGTGTACAGGCTAGTCTGTGTCGGCGGTCTCGAGCGGCTGGACTGATCGCCACGCGGTAGTGCAGCAGCTATAGCGGTGACCGAAAGACATTTCAGTGGGCTGATCATCTCACATTGGCGTCCAGATTCGCCCAGATCCGTTCAGTCTCGAATCGAGCCCTAGTGTTTCGTGCCGTCGGGGATGCCGCTGTCTTATACAGACCGCTGTGTCGCACAGCTCTCCGATCCAATCATGCCTTCCGAATAGCTGCGCCCTGTGAATACTTTGTCGATGAATGGAGAATTACCGTTTTCCGAAGCCTTGTGCCGCGAACGCCGGTGCCTTGTGTCTGCTGCCTGACAAGCGTCCGCCCACGCGCGCCATCGATTTGTTAGAACGGTCAACACAACAGAGGAGTTCTTCAGCCGAACTTTTGTGAATAAGTGGCGAGTGGTGCTGCTAACATGCTTACGAAGAAGCGGTTTTAGTGGATTAATGGACTGGCGAGATGAGTGTTATCTTCCAGCTAGCGTCGAAGTCTTCTACTTAAGTGATGAGATAAATTAATCTAATCTAGCGCCGGAAATCATGTGAATGTTTTTGTCTTCGTGCCATACTCGCCCTGTATTGCTGATACTTGTCGGTTTTTATATAATATATTAACTTTAATATACAGACGTATTATATGTTTGTTACACCATGTGCTTTATGTGACATCGGCCCGCAGACACTAAGAACAACGGTTTGTGGTAAATGATTCCTCTGTCCAGAACGTTGGGGCAGAATAAACTGTAAAGGTCCGTTGCGTTACTGCTTTCCATGCTCAAAGTGGGGTTTTCAGTTCATTGCTGGCACATCCGGCTATGCTAAGCGTGCGTTTATGCTTCTTTGACCGTGGTCTGACTTGCCTAGGAATTAGGAAATCTGTCCGTTCACAGTGTTCCAGCTAAATTATGTCTCTGAAACGGGTGGTCAGGATTGATGAATGAGTCACTACGATTTAACATTCGAGATAAATTATTTCTGACGGCTGATGGGTGACGAGTTTCTATTTTCCGTAGTCTTATCAGGCAAGATTACTAATGCATCATGGTGACATGCGATTTGCAGTGGTAAAAGGTCGCCTTCGCCGTTAGCGCATACGACATGATTTGCAAGAAGGATGAAGTAAGCCAATATATAATAATTCCTTGAAATTGCTTAAGGTTTATTAAATCATATTCTGGTTCGCTATTGTTAGTCTTTCCATTTGGATAATTATTTGTTATATTGATCCGAATCGACGCAAATAATGCTAAAAGATTATTTACTAGTTGATTCCCAAAAGCTTTTGAGCCATGTCTAGCGCAGCTGTTTCGAGACTGGCGCACCATTTTCTGTGAGGGGCCGGCCACGTAAACTGTAAACTTCTATAAATTCAAGTATTTACCGGTCGTGTTCAACATCGGAAGGTAACGGTCCGGTGGCGGTATATGGGGCCTTGACGGTGGCATTGAAGTTGTGTTACATAAAATGAGACTTGGTATTTAATTTTTATTTCATAATAGCAATAATTTCAGTACCTACGAATAAGGACTCTGAAATTGAATCCATAATCACAATCAGCCCTGCTTCCAGAATAAGGTTGAGATCCAGAATCCAGACTCAGAGGCATCAGTACAAGTAGGGCTTCAAACCTTTAGCCACTTTATCCACATCACAGCGTATTGATATGCCCACTTGTGCTATGTCTGTCCTAAGGTCTGTCCTACCTATTAGCAACCAATACCGACTCAGCCTGGCGACTGCCTCGGCCTCATGATCAACCTGATCTAGGCCGTATCTCATGACAATGATTGATAGTTGATATGCTGTGTAGTGTGCACCATGTCAATGTGTATGTGTAAATGAAAATATAACAATGATATTTCAGATCATCTCCTACAAATATGGATCAAGCTAAGGAGGTGTTCGAGAAACTGGCACTGCTAGTTACCACTCCCGACTGCTATGATGAATTTTTCAACAAGATGAACTTTATGCATGGTATGTGGTAAAGATCAAGCCCAAGGCTTCTCTTTTTAACAAAATTAGGAATGTTTCTTCCATTTGTTTTATCCCGACATGTGAGGGAAAATTAAGGAGTTCCTTATTTTCTGTATTTATACTAAAACAAATCACACTCTCATTGAAACATGAGATTGTAAGCAATTGGTGCTTGAACACCCCTCATCCTTAGGGAAAGTCATGCATCACCTAACCATTTTGTCTTTGTGTTCTTAGTGCCATGCCTGAAGTCAACACTAAGCAAAGGCCTGGGGCTTGGAATAGTTGCTGGATCTTCCTTGGGTAAGTTTTCTATTCTATGCATTTGCATGTGAATTAAAGTGAGCTTAGGTGCTGATGGACTGTTAGTAACACTTGAGCTCTCATACTTGCTTTGTCAATTAACACACTTTCTTTCTATAATATTCATGCATATATGCTGCCAAAAATGTTGGTGAATGACAGAATATCCTTCTAATATGTCATTTTGCTGAGAAGTTGAAATGCTGACAACTGATCTTCTATAAGAGTTTGACATGTATAAGCCTTGAATCTATTAGAAAGTGGCTTCTTATGTTTGCTTATTGCATAATAATTTCAGTCTCTGATGGGATTCTGTCCCATTGCAGTGAAAGTCCCCCAGGTGCTGAAAATCCTCATGAACAAGAGTGCTGAGGGCATCAGCATCTACGGTGTGCTGATGGAGCTGTTTGCTGTGACGGCCGCCACTGCCTACTGCTTTGTACAGCAGTATCCGTTCAGGTACTGTTCTTGTAACATGGGGAATGGGCACACTCAGTCAACAAACAATAATAACCAATTAACCATGTATGTGTACCTATGTTTTCTGGTACCTAAGCAGAATAATGGGAAGTTTAGCAGATACCTAGGTAATGAGATAGAGTGATCAATGAAACTAACTACCAGATGAACATTTAACGTCTGTCAAAGCTATTTTTCAATCTATCTATTCTGTTAATGTAAGTAAACTGTGAAGACCGCTCTGACACAAAACAAAACTGTTACTTATCGATAAATTTGACAACCGTAAAACTCGTCTCGTACAATGTCATTTTGTCATATCGTACCGCTTGGAATGTGTTGCGCAAAACAGTGTTACCGCAGCATGTACGCAGACTGTTTCCTCCACTGTTTCGTTGAGCGTGTCAGAAGTTAATGGAAGAAAGTTGTCTGACTAGAACAGTTTCGCATGGGAGTAGCCATTCAAGTATCGAGCGCATTCTTCCTTCTAGCCCACACCTGTCTTCCGCGCCAGTGCTTGCTCATCAAACTATTGATAGGGCACTTGTGAGAACAAAACTCGGGTTTGTCGTTGTTCGTCGTTCCACTGTTGCACTGTCATCCGTTGCACTGTCAACTTGAATGGCTCGCTACTGCGATGGGCGTGGAATCGCTCCCTGAGCAATGCATTAATCTGCACTAGCTGGTACAGGAACATACCGCTGAAGCTTAGTCTGACCAGGTTGCACAGACCAGGGTTGACTAGGCTGAGTCGGAGTCGGAGTCGGTCGGAGGCAACAGTTCTGACAGGAGTCGGAGTCGGAGTCCCCGAAAACCCATGGAGTCCGCAGTCCTGCGAAGTCTGCGGAGTTGGAGTTGGAGTCGGTCGGAGTCGACAATTATGCCCGGAGTCGGAGTCGGAGCTGGTTTTTGAAGGCCGGAGTCTGAGTCGGAGTCATCGAAAATCGATCGACTCCGCAGTCCTGGCACAGACTGTAGAAATATTGGTGTGGCGACGTTGGCATACTTTGGTGTTAGCTGTTCCTCTCAACCACATCCGCTGTCAATTTCTGTGGGTGATTTTTTGCTTCCTCGCCAAACACATTGGGTGATAGGATATCGCTTAGTAAGGAAACCATGGCAAACGCTGGTCTTGGTAGTGTAAACTTTTGTGGCGTCATCAAATCGCTGAAGGAAACTCTGTACTGGTCGCCAAATCCTGTTCGTCGCGACTGTCCGCTATTCGTATAAATTTAGAAGCTGTTCGTGAGCTTATCAACCTTCTGAGGTCACGAAAGCTGGGGTTGACTGGAAGATTAAAACACGGTTTACTGGGAAAACGAATCTGAAGTTCACGTTCTTTTTGCTCATTCTCAAAGCTGCCGAAACTAGGCAAATAATTGGTATTAATGAACCGGACTGAATGTAGCATAAGATTAGTCATGGTCTCGCCCTTTTTTGTCTTCCTCTGCCTCCCTCTCTCCATCGTTCCCTCTTATCGTTCCCCCGTTCCTCCTCACCCTACCAGCAGCTATTTCTTCGTTTCCTGCTCCCGTCCTCTTCCCTTCCCCATCTCCTGTCCTCTGTCCTCTCCCGTCACCTGCCTCTCATTTCCTCCCCTCCTCCCTCCCTCTCTCTGGCGCCGCCCTCTGTCCATTGTCCTCGGTCACGGCCTGCCTCCGGTGCCCGTCTCCGTCCTTTGTTCACCGCCTGTTGTCCACCGCTCATCGTCATCTATTCAAAACTAGCGCTGTGGCTTGATGTCGTCACCGGCCTGGTATCTGCCCATCCTGTCGATCTTACGTTAGCCGTGTCCTGCAGCCTCTGGCCTCCAGTCCTTGCCCTCAACTTTCCTCCAGTTGCAGTCCTCCAGTCCCCATCCTCCATTCATGTCTTCCAGTCCTTGTGCTGCTCTGATGGTCCTGCCCTCCATTCCCTGCCCTCCAGTTCATGCCCTCCATTCCCCGTCCTCTAATACCCTCCATTCCCCGTCCTCTAGTACCCTCCATCCCTGTCCTCCAGTACCCACCATTCTCCCGGTGTCCGTCCGACCCGTCCCGTCCCGTCCGTCCGGCTCGGCCCGGGCCGCTGCCGGTGTCGGAATTAATGGCTCGGCCGCCAGAGGGGGCGGCCGCCGCGCGGCGCGGGCTCCATTGACGCCGCTCCGCGCCTGCCGGCGCCGCTTTGTCCTGTATTGAATACAGCATAATGGGGGATATAGTCTTGTGTTTGGAATATAATAGGAGATGAGACAGGAAAAAAGGAAATGGTATTGGGGGACAATAGACGGAGCTGCGGCCTTTGGAAGGAGACCAGTCGGCCGCCGTTGTTCGCGAGGAAAAGTCAAGTTTCGAGGCGCTCCGCGCACTGTGCTAGTGCTGGAGATGGCTGCGAAGAGAGGCTGGCCAGTGTCGGATTGTGTCGTGAATCGTCCCGTGATGCGAATATCACTGGGGTTGAGGGATTGTGACGGTGCGGCGGGGATTTCACGAGTCGTGAGCGGTGGATGTAAGTACCATATTGTGAACTTTCCTGGCGTGATCCGCGCTATTTGAAGGGAATATGTTTTTCAATTGGATGGACTGTGATATTTAGTGATTTCAAATGTTTGCTATGGTGAGATTTCAACGTCTGACGAGGACAGGTGGTCAACTTCGCTTGCGGAAGAGTGGCTCGATGTTGAGGCTCTCAGGATAACATAAAGTGACTTACCGTTTAGGTCGTCGATGGACAGCTGGCCGTGGCCGTGGGATGCTTGGATGACAGGTGTGATCAACTTCGGGAGTGTGACCTCCAGCGTATGGCGGCGTGGCGTGGTCGCAAACCCAACCTCTGCACCACCTAGCGGACAAACGTCGAAGCTCTAGTTCCCTGTTTGTCCACTAGGGGTGGTCGGTCGGCACTCGCCTCCTCGC